CACACACACACACACACACACACACACACACACACACACACACACACACACACACACACACACACACTATTGTGAAATGAAGTCAGTTGTCCTGGATTACAGAAGGCAAAGTCGGTGAAGCATTAGATACATTGTTGAAAACAACAACAAAATTATTAAATATAGATTTCTCTTGAAGTCCCTCTGTATCTCACTCAATTTTAAAACCCAATACAGTATTCATAAAGGAAAATATAGATTAGCTTCTTGGCTCACTCTGAAGCCCACATTGACCCAGCGGCACCACCGAAGCTCACTTGCTCACAGCTCTGGTTTCAGCTCACAGCCAAGAAACGTTGGTTCAAAAAGGAGATGTACATGTTGAGAGAGAGAGAGAGAGTGACTTTCAGACAGAAGAAGCTTTGCTTTGCCCTCTATTTTTGGTCTTTATGTCTAGCCAGTTCTATATGTCCCTTAATGTCGTACTATACCTTAAAACACAAACAAACATGTAGGTTTACTTGACTGGAAAAACAAAACAAAACACCGCTTAACTTGTACTCTTTGTCACTTTCCTTATGTAAATATAGTTGGTGTCAGAAACTGTTGTGGTAACGGATGAATGTATATGAAGGAAAACAGGACTGACAGCAGATTTTGAAGTGACATCCAAGGGTGGCTTCTAGGTCAACAAATTCATTGTGTGAACTGAACTGTGTCACAGAGCACATGAACATGGGTTTAGACATAACACCGCTCAATCACATGCACATACGTGTGACTTATTTAACAGCTGGTAAATTCCAGTGGTTATTTATTGTCATGATTACAGAAAAAGGATAAGGATCTAACATACTGGTATGATGTAACACTGGAAATAATCCTGTTGCATTGCTTATCCACTGTAGCTTTTTAATATTTCATTGTTATTCATATTGTGTTTGAGTTTTGGTGTTGCTACGTTATGTCGATATATTCACTAAATTGTAGTTGTGCAAAATAACCGAAGTCTCCTGAAGAAATGTCTAATAAAATAATTTTGTCCAGTTATAATGTTTGTTTTCAGGAGGAGGTTGCACTAATCTGCTGAGATGTGTAGTCTAATATACAGCTGGATGTGGGACACATAAGTTCAATGGTGAATTATGAACTTTAAAAAAAACCAGCTTGTGTCAAAGGCCACAACATTCCTCAACCAGGACTACTAAAGCTCACCAGCTGCTTGGGGAAATATAATTTGCAGTTTGTGCTGCAGTCCCTACTGAAGGGCAGTATTTCAAAAGTAGAGGAACTATGTGGGTGAGGCTTGCAGTAAATAACATTTTGACAGGAGGCAGAAAAACATAGACCACTGTGGAAACACAGGCAGTCATTAACTTGAAGAAACCCTTGGACTAATACTTCTGGAAGTAAACTTAATTTCAGGGAGAGTAAGGGTGGCCACTTACTCCTTTTCCCAGTGTTTATACTGTTTATCTGGACGTAGGATTTCCAGTGGGAGGAACGTTTCATCCAAGTGACTTCTTCAGGCTCAGAAGAAAGACATGCCATTTTAAAAAGAGTCCAGTGAGCTCATAGATCATTTCTATGAGAGCTTTGGGAATTGACAAAAAGCCCTGATCAGAAGAACCGAGGCCCCTGCTGGTGACATGGCTGCAAAAGTTTGCTTGTGTAGGTGGTGGGTTATCCAGAGCCCTAAAAATGAACACCAGACCTTGGAATTGAATCTAAATGGGGAGCCAGTGAAGTGAGATCAGCATAGGTTTGACATGAGAATGTCTGGAGGTTCTGGTATGGAGTCTTGTAGCAGTATTCGATACAAATTCTAGCTAGGTGAGGCGAGATGACGTACCCGCAAATAAAAGATCTCTTTAAGCAATGTAAGATAATTCAGCTGTAGGATGTGTTTATTTGTACTCATAGAGGCACTGCAAATATGTTACGATGTTAATGTATACACTAACGTGTGACATTTATCTGGTGCCCCAGCAGGGGTCTTTTGTGTGGCGAACATCCTGGCTCATCCTGACCTTTGTGGGAACGTATTCATCACAGCAAGAATTCGGCCTCAAACTGAGAGCCTGCTGGCTCTGTTTGTATATTTAACACATTTTAGGAAACACACATTTAAACTGTATTGACCTTTTAACCTTTTATTGGTTTCAAAGACTCCAGCTGTCTGTACTCATTTTACTATTATAAATGCACATTCTATGAATCTAAACATACCCACTAAAACTACAATCTGGTGAAGCTGTTAACAACTTTTAGACATCTGAAAGTTGTGAATGATTAATGAATGCTAGTGACTGGGCTCATCTTTAACAAGCTGTTGTGTTTGTAATCAAATCAAAAGGAATCTTGATAATTGAAGTTCAACATATTCACCACTACATCTTTATGAGCTTTTTGGAACACAACATATTCATATCATATTAGCCATGCGTCCTTGGAAATAGCACATTATAAAAACATATCTGAAACGTGACATTGACACAGTCGTTTTCACTGTGTGTATCTTTTCAGTGGCTGACAAAGCTGTTACTTTTATCTTATTTGCTCTAAAATTTAGATGTTTTAGAGCAAAACCTCTTTAGGTTTGAAGTTTTATGAGTGCATTTAATCAAATTTGTATTTATATTTGACCTAGGTTACATTAAATTGTACTTTGTGTTTGCAGCGTAATTGATTTCAGCTACCAGCCTAGCCTATTGTAAAGAAAACAAGTCAATGCTGGACAGCATCCCTGACTGTATGATACGGTGGCCCTGAGAGGCCAAACGGACTGCAACACCAGCAATAAGAAAAACGCTGCGAAAGCACACAAAACACAACGGAAATTCACCCAACCACCGTGATGATGAGAGACATTCATAATGGAAAACATGAGTAGAAATGAGAAAATTCCATCAGTCATCATGTCTGAACTGGACTAAACGCAGAACGCAACCCTTTGCACTACACCTCTCTGCACACTGGGTGGCAGGAGGGAGCCAGCGTGAATAAAGGCCCTTCATGTGCTACTGCATCTTGTTGACATGTTGCTTTTTTTTTTTTTCAAACTCTCAATACTTTGAACCGTCCACGTGCTCAAACTCTACAAACTCACTGCATTCTTCAATTGTTCTGTTCTGCATTAGACTTCTGTCGCGGCTATGATGAACGTAAAACTTTGCAGTAATGCAAAGACGTTCAAGTAAGAGTGCAAGAACGGGACTTTTTCCTCATGGCTGTTGACAATGAATAATCCGCATTTTACGTTTTCTACTGAAGCCACACTCACAAACACAGAGAGAATGTAGAGATATTCACAACCGTAGAACAAAACATGGGGATGTGTTGTCCTCCTTCACCTTAAGGTCAATACAATTAGTGTAATTAATTACACTTGGGGCCCAAGGTGCGGGGGCTGATCAGGACAGGGTGGTGGTGGGGTGGGGGTCTGTGGTGTGTGTGTGTGGGGGAGAAAGGACGGGACAAGCCTTTCCTCAGGAAAACATATCACCTTCAACCACAATAGGGTAAACCGCAGGAAATCAGGAAACCGCAGGCAGCAACATTGCTCTCTTGAGTCAGTGAGGACTTTCAGACACGCTCTCACACTCATCACAGACACTCTACAGCCGGGCAGCTCATTTAGCCAACACACTCCAGGATGACATTGGACTGAAACACAGCAAGGCATCGTCATCAGGTAAGTCTGATCCTCTGCAATCATCTATTATTTCATACTGACTGTTTCCGTTGTGATAGAGATTTAAGTTCAAATGATTGTTTTTATGTGGAAATCATTGTGTTTGGCTGTTTTTCACCACCTCTGTCTGTAACATATATACTTAAAGTTGGGTAGTCATTTTTGTGTTTAGAAAAAAACCCCAAACTGATTCGCCGTTCCTCCTTTACTTTTTTCATTTTTGGAAGAGTTTCCCTATCCTGGCTAATTACACAAACAAACAAACAAACAAACAAACAAACAAACAAACAAACAAACAAACAAACAAACAAACAAACAAACAAACAAATAAACAGCTTAGAAAAATCAAGAAAGAATATCAAGGAAAAAAATCATACACAGTTCATATTTGATCAACCCACCAGTTGCTAAGTGTAATACAATGCTGATGTCTGGCTTTTGAGCGTTTGCCAGTCACACTGATTTTATGAACTTTGAGGTCATCTTCTTAAAAAAGACACAACTGATAAATATGATCCCTACTCGTCTACTTTCTTCATCATGAACATTCAGTATTATTTTTCCATCTAGACACTAAAGGATTCAAATGCCAATGCATCACAGTAACCATCTCAACTCGAGTCACTGTTCTGAATTTTTACTAACAAAAGATCAATTGTTGTCACTGTCTGGAGTTTGGCTGTTTCTGTTGGCAGGAACAAAGATGAACAAACAAAAGGAGAACTCTCTTTCACTGCCATCAAAGCAAAAAAAAAAATTGTTCCCCTGCTACTATTTGTTCTATTCAATGTCATTATTTAAAAATGAAGCCCATATAACGAGTAAAAACTGACTGAAATGAGCTTGGCATGATACCGTACAAGCTTTAATCACTATTAAACCCCCTGGGCGACCGTGGCTCAGGGGGTTGGGAATCGCATCTGTAACCGGAAATTCGCCGGTTCGATCCCTGGGCTCTCTGTCCTGGTCGTTGTGTCCTTGGGCAAGACACTTTACCCTACTGGTGTTGGCCAGAGGGGCCGATGGCGCGATATGGCAGCCTCACTTCTGTCAGTCTGCCCCAGGGCAGCTGTGGCTACAACTGTAGCTTGCCTCCACCAATGAGTGAATGAATAGTGGCATTGTAAAGCGCTATATAAATCCAATCCATTATTAAAGCACCTAAAGTATTTTTTCAGCAGCACATGCGGTATGAAACTAAACACTGTTTCTTGTTCTTGATCATGAAGCAGTAGCCTCTCATTATAGTGGAAGTAAAACAAAGTATACTTACTGAATTAATGAAAAAGTACAAATGAAAGAAAAACATACTCCTGGGTTCCAAAAAAGTAACCACCACATCTGACCACAAGTAATCATATGAAATATTATGACCACATCATAAGGCAAAAAAACACAATAATGAAAAACAGCCAAAGCAGAAAAAAATGGAGAGTCAGACAAAAACAGCAATAAAATTATATATCAGTCGCATCTACTGTAGGCCTGGTGTTAATATAATGTTGAGTCAGCAGGGGGTGCTTTTTGCCTTCAGTACTTTTTAAGATTCTGTAACAATTTGCTCATTGAATATGCAACGCATGAGAGCTGACAATTTTATGTTTTCTACGTATAACAGCACAATGACTTGATTTTTTTTAAAAACTGTAAGTGGAAAAACAATCTTTAGATACCTTTAATAGGTAGTAAAGTTACTTAAGCACTTAAGAACTAGCTGTCCTGTTTCTCACCAATATCCCACCCAGGGCTGTGTGCAGTCTTGCATATATTAGCCAATACATATCACCTGAACAGCACCTTAGCTTCTTTTCTCTAAGTCTTGTTCGGGGGATGAAACGGCATTCTTCAAAAGGATATTCCAGCACTAGAGAGCACAATAACAGCACTGCTATAGGATATACACTACCCATTGTGTTGCGTTCTTCTTACTATGAAGGTCAAATATATTTCACATGAAAGTATTCAGGGAGCTCTAATGCCCTATTGTTGTCGCTTTGGCTTTTTGTCACTCCCACCAGGACAGAAATGTTTCATAGAGGGATAAAGGTGAACATTTTGCTCTGATGTGCAGTGACAATTCCCTACAAGGCGACGAGTGGCTCCAGAACTTTGTCAATAACTTGCCCACCGCAGAGTCACCAGATCCCATCACTTTAAGGATCAAAAGTTCTACTTTTTTCCTTTAATTTGTCACATACTCGTATATTTGAAACTAATGTGATACCACCTGGATTCTCGGTATGAAACTGACTATTTGTGTTTCCCTGGAAACTGTTTTGTCACTAAGGTGTAAATCGGGGCCAAGAAGAACAGCAAAAACTCAGTTTCATCACCTTATATTAGAACTGAAAAAACGTCACAAACCAACTCTTATATAAAAAATGTCATTTAAAGTTATTTTAACTTTTAGTTTAAAATGAGTTCACTTATAAGTAGTTTGAAATGAAACCTCTGAACGAATTCTTTGGGGCATGAAATTATATTATTTTGCTCTTATCTTGGTAGGTTAAAGCCCGGGTATGTCTGGTACTCATGTCCTAGTTAATGTTAACTGTGGGTAATGTTGACAGATCTCTGTAGGTTGTGTTTTATCCCAGTTGTTCCATCCTAAGTATTTCCATAAAATTACAAACAAAAATCTAAATTAAAAGAAAAAGAAAAGAAAACATTTTTCCTAGATCTTACACATTATCTTTGTTTTGCAGTTTGTTAACGTATTAAATGCAACCATGCCCATTCTGAAGAAACTCCCGGGAAGATCCAAGAGCTGCCACGAGTTCCCCAGAGTGAACGGTGAACTGATTCTGCCTCGCCTAGACTTAGACATCAGGGACTTGAACGAGCTCAAGGACCTGAAGGAGCTTAATGAACTGAAGGAACTAAACAAGAACCTGAACCCCTTTGAGGATGTGGACCTGGATGATGATGATGACAGGAACAGAGGTGACATGGGCCTCATTATGGGGGAGGTCAAGGGTAACCTCCAGCTGAAGTCGTCCTGTGATGGTGAAGAGGAGGAGAACGAGGTAAATGCTGGGAAACACGGGGCAGGGAATCCTAAAGTGAAGCCACTGCGGGGGACCCTTGAGCGGATCTGTGGAGTGTCTCCCCTTAAGACCCTTGGAAAATTGGGAAAGGGGCTTCGCATATCAGGACGGAGTGTATGGGGGAACAGCACCCCACACTACAGCCCTGGAGATTCAAATACACTACCAGCAGAGAAAGAGAAAAGAAAAGGACTACGCAGGAGCTCAGAGGGAATAATGACCCTGCTTCGGTGAGGAGAGATTTGAAGTAGAAAGAAAGCAGTTTTTAAACAATTTAACCTGTGGCACAGTTGTGGTTTGACGTTTACATTCACTCATCATTGACCTAAATGTTCTTTTTTCCAGGTGTAATCATTGTGCAGCATGCTTTTGCACTTTGAGTGTACAAGTTTGAATTGACATTGGATTTTGTCACATCCACACAGGGCCAAATGTATACATATAGGCTAAAATATATTCATACACTCACTTGAATCTTTTAATAGGTGACACTGAAGGTCCACTGAATGTCTTTTAACTTGCCGAGGCCTACTAACTTCTCATTAGTGATCACCATTGACTACAACTGGTACTTTATCTTTGTCAGCACAAAAAGGATGTGTTTCACAGCTCACAGCACACATGGGATTAACTAATACTCGTAACAATGGGAAAATCCAGAGAAGTCTGTGGGAAAAGATGATTAATAAGAACTCTAAATTTACGTAAATTTAAGCTGGGAAGGTGTCTTAGTCATTTCCACAAAACTGCAGATTCTGAGCTCATCATTTGAAAGAGTTGTGCCCAAGCACAAGTTCTAAAAATAAAAATTGGCTAGAATATTCAGAAACATCCCTAACCATAACCCAGAAAAACTGCTGGCATAACTGTCCACAGCGAAGCAAGTTTTACATTTCAGGGTTAATCCATTTGTAGAAATTTGTAGCTCCCTATGTGGACGAGCCAAATGCCTTGTGGGAAAGTTTTATTGTCAGACGAGACAAGACTGAGTCACAGTTAAAAGAGGTACGTTTGGAAGAGGCTTTCAAACCTGTGCCAGTGTTCAGCGTTCAGCATTGGTAAGCTACTGTTTGCTTTGAGTGCTCGAGTAGAGTAGAAAACCACTACATAAGAACCAGTCCATTTACCATTTACCAAATTAACAGCCAGATGCTTTAAACCTTGACATAACTGGGTGATCCAATGGGGCAATAATGTAAAAACGCACATTAAAATGGTTCTGGAATAGGCTAATATTAAGCTTCTGGCATGGCCTTCCCAAATCCCAGACCTCAACCCCGTTGAAAAATTCTGGACTATGCTGGATTTGTGCCAGGAAACCAACCAATTTAAATAAGATTTTTACTAATTCTGCCAAGAGTACAGGTCAAATATCCAGCAAGAATTATGCCAGGAGCTTGTCGGTGATCAGAAGTTCAGGCGCAACTGTCTAAGCAACAAATATTAGTGGGGGCATCTGTATTTCTTTAAGCCTGTATATACCTTTGACCCTGTGTGGATTAGAGAAAATCCAAAACGAAAGAAAATTTGTGCAAACAATTTTTGGTTAATTTTTAAGTCATTGAAGATGTAGGACTGGAAAAAGAACATTTCAAAGAAATCAAGCCCCCAAATTACCGTGATATTCACAGCCATGTAAATTCTGATGACAACTGTATGTCACTTATGTGAAGCAACTCTATGCTCATTGGACTCATATGATGCTTTTGATTGCATTAAAAAATAGTTTTTCAGCGACTGAGAATAAAAGTCCTGTTTACTGGTCAGTGACAGAATAACATATAGTGCCCTTATTTCCTAAGCGGTTGTGTAATTTGCTGTGGTAACTTGTTGATCTAAGGAACCTCTTTTGTTTTTCTGTGGCATGTTGTGTACTTGCTGTCCTCACTCAATGGGACTATTTTTAGACGAGGTAGCCACACACGGCAGCAACACTGTGAATGTGTGGCACTCAAAGCACAGGTTTTCCTAGGAACTCCGTACAGGACAATACAAACCTCATGCACTCATTAAAGTCCTTGCATCATTTAGGGCCATGATTTATGCTCTTTGTCATTGCTGTGGATGTTCTGCAGCTTCACTGGTCGACGGAAGGAGGAGCGCAGAGAAAGCCTGCCCTGTGGAGACCTGAGCGTAGGCAACGAGGTAGAGACTTCCAGGCGATCATCCTTCCTCAGGATGGTCAGTCTGGGCAAGCTAAAGAGGGAATCCATGTCAGACAAGGCATCCCAAGAGGCGGAGGAGGAAATGGAGGAGGAGGCAGAGGATCCAGTAGTGAAAACCAGAGAGCCCCTCTCAGGTAATAATTAAGAAGTCGATAAAAAAAAATTACTTTCCAAGTGACCCTGTAGACTTTAGCAAAGAATCTACATTACATTAGTTAATATTTCAGGTCAAATTTCAACAGCAGTTGTTGAAACCTAGACAACCCTCTGATGAGGTTAAAACTTTTCACTTGGGAGTCACTGCGCTCACTTACCATCAGGCTGAAAAGGAGAGGAAGTAGGGTCAGAAATGTTCCCCAGCTTCCTCTAGATAATTCAGTCCAGCTACTGTTTGGAGACTCTGGCAGGGAATTTTATCAGGAACAGAGGAATGTGCAGACAAACCTGCAACAAACAGGCGAGTTTGTCAGCCAGGTACATGCACAGCTGCTGAATGAGATACGTGCATTAACATATTTGTCACTAAACCTATTACCTCTAAACTTGTGTTTCTCTTCTGGTTTCCCACAGTTCTGGAGATCTTACAGCTGGTCAATCACAGGGACCTTCTCCTGGCTGACACACACATTCAGGAACTGGAGCGAGAGTGTGAGCTCCTGTCTCTCCTGCCAAACACAACTCCTCCTACCCTCACTCCTACCCTGTGTCCCAGTACTCCACCCAGCATGTTGTCTTTGTCCTCTTCCTTTGATGAGTCCCTCAGCTCTAATGCGACTTTGGACTCAAGCCGGAGAAAAGCTAAGGATGTGGAGCTCCTGTATGAAGCCCTTCAGAAGGAGATGTGGGATGTGGTGCGGGAGTCACTCCGCCAGCCTAGTGCTGGCCCCAACCTTGGTCTGGTGGTGCTGGTAATCCAGCAGGAGGAGCATGCTGATGCTGCCTGGGCTCTGAGGGAGGAGACTAAGCCAGAGCAAGAGGTCCCCCGCATCCAGCCCAGCCAGCGTCCCCGGCGACTGAAGATGAAGTGGAGGCAGGCTGTAGCGGAGGCTGCAGACTGGAGCTTGCCACATCAGGTAGACACCCAAGCAGGCCAGTTGGCCTCGTATCTGGAGCGCCTGAAGTGTCGAATGGTGGATGATCTGGATGCAGCGAGAAGGAACGCTATATCTATTTACCCAGAGGAGTTTGCAGCCTTCCAGGTGTATGTGGAAAGTTACCATCGAGCTGTGGCCAAACGTCTTCGCACTATTACCAGTGGCCCACTGCAGATCACAGACGTATACTCACTACTTGACTGGTTCTACAACATCTACAACAGGTTGGTAATGATTGCCTGCTCCAATAACGACACACACAACAAGTCTTTATTCCTAGTTAAATTTTTAAATTAATTCTTTCCCACCAGGGATGTCCTAGGAACAATCGGGACCACCACACCCATCAACTACAGCACACTGGATGGTATTCTGCCTCAAGAGACAGTGGATAGGCTGGAACAAGACTGCATTAGTGTAGTCAGGGTGAGAAAAGAGTGTTTGAATGTCTGTTGCTGGGAAAATGTGGATAAGCGATGCATTTAAATTTCCTGCTTTTTCAATTTTCAGGATAAGGTGACAACAGAGCTGATCCATGTGCTGGATGAAGAGGAGAGGCGGTGGGCTCAGACTCTGCACATAGAGGAGTATCAGTCTCACCTAGCATGCTCAGTAATCCAGGTACAAAGCCGTACTATTTCAGTAACATTTTCCTTGAATGAAACCTTTGTCTTATCACTCATGTCTTTGAAAATTTCAGAGGGTAAAGGTGGATTTGGACAGATCTACATCTGTGAACCAGTTTCTAGGAGCAAGAGTGGCTCGCTGCAGTCTCATTGGATTGGTTGACTTCATTTACAGGTGTGTGGACAGTAGTTTAAGGTTATAGCTGTTAAATCATATCTATATATCTATCTACTGAGAAAGAGAGAGAGAGAGTATTTGCATTCAAAGTGTTCTCATAAAACCTCTATGCATTCAGTTTCCAGAGGAAGGTGGAGATGTTTCATGACAGTCAGGCAGAATTTGGAGACCGAGGAGATGGATATGTGTCAAGGACTATAGCTCTGGTTAACTGCTGTCCTCCTCTCAGGTTGGCAAAGATCAGTGAAACTTCATATCTGAACATTTTCTAAAAGAGCTACAGAAACTAAACTGAAATGTCATATTTCTTGTGTAATGTGTAGATCCTTTGTGGACCGCTGCAGGCAGTGTGACCCACAGGGCAGTGAGGAATCTGCGCAGAAAGCCAACTCCTCATTGGACAGGATCATCAACCAGTCAGTGAGGGTGCTGACTGACAGGCTATTTGACCACATCAGAGTGAGTAGGACAGTGGCAAGATTCATCTGAGCCATTAAAGATGGTTTTCCGGAAACATAATTACAATCATGACCCAGATGTGCTGTGCTTAACAAATTTATGAGAGCATCACCCAATAATAATAATAATAATAATAATAATAATAATAATAATAATAATAATAATAATACATTTTATTTAAAAATAGCGCCTTTCAAAGCACCCAAGGACACTGTACAACAGATAAAAACACAAAAACTGGAAATATACACAATAATAAGAATAACAGATAAAAGTTAAGAGCATGCAGAGGTTTAAACATAAGCAATTTTAAACAGATGAGTTTTGAGGGTGGACTTAAAAAGAGGGAATGAACTAATAATGTTCCACAGCTACCCTAAATTAACAGTACTGTAATGGTAATCGGCAAAATTATTGTGTGTGTTACTGCAATGGTTGCTCCAGTATGCACAAGCTCTTCAATAAAATTATATTTTAATGCTAAAATATAATTATTTTTCTTATCAAAGAATTTTTCAATTTACTGTACAAAAAGAAAAAAACATTAAAGCACATTATTATTTATCAGGTTAAGATACAAAATTACAGTTATTTACTTGCATTCCTGAACAGAAAAATAGTTTTAGTGGTTGAAGGTTATGCTTTTGGTACAAAGCACAAATTCATTTCATTAAGTTTACTTATTATTAGTTCTGAACAAGTTTCTGGCAGATTTGTGTTCATGACAGGTAAGCTAAAACAAAACAGTATTTTTTTGTAGCTAAGTTTCTGGTCACATACTTGTGTCTTTTATTATTTTGATAATACACCGAATTATATGGAGAACTTACATGTAATACATGAAAAGTCAGTATTTGGGCAGAAGTGTTTTGTGTACACACAGCTGTTTAGTGTATCATTAGCTGTGTCGTTAGCTGTGTCGTTAGCTGTTTCGTTAGCTGTTTCGTTAGCTGTTTCGTTAGCTGTTTCGTTAGCTGTTTCTTTAGCTGTATCATTAGCTGTTTCGTTAGCTGTATCATTAGCTGTTTCGTTAGCTGTTTCGTTAGCTGTTTCTTTAGCTGTTTCGTTAGCTGTATCATTAGCTGTTTCGTTAGCTGTTTCGACAAAAACAGCTAATAAATACAACTGTCCAACATGATGATGATAACAATGATAATAATAATAATAAACAATGAGTATAAAGTACAGTGTTTACCTCATTCCTATATCTGAAATTTCAAGTAATAAAACCATCCACACTAATTCAGTTAAAAGGACTAGATGTTACAGCCCCTGATAATGCATTGCTTTTGATGGAGAGACTCTTGAGGGATGGCTGTTATGAGGAAAGGCAGCCCAGAAACTTTGCCAGCAGCCCACGTCGTTGTGTGCTCACTTTCAGTCTTTTACCCAGGCTAATCTGCTGTTTTCCTTCCTTGGTTAGGTTTACCAAACCTAAATCTGTTCTTCATCTGTACTTTGTCTGTTGCCTTTCTAGCCTTTCTTTGACAAACTGATGAAGAGAAAGTGGCTGAACAACACAGAGGCCTTCGAGGCTATTGAAGCCAGTATTAAACAGCATTTCAAGAAATTTAGAAGGATGGACTCTCCACCCTATCAGGTCAATACATGTTTGAAATGGTAGTCCATAACATTTTCAATGTATAAAGGTATGAAACTATATAAAACTATAGCTAATCTACAATTGCTGTTATGACTGACAGACACTGGTGGGTGAGGTGCACCGGCGGGTCCTAGTGGAGTATGTGAGAGCCATTATGAGGGGACGCCTCATGTGCACATCCTCCAAGATGAGGAAGAGGATGGCTTTCCGCCTGCAAGATGAGGCCAAGCAGCTCAAAGGACTCTTTAAGGATCTGGTAAGTCTGGTCTGCAGACACAAAACTTTTTTTTTATTAGACTGTGTTAGTGTGGAAAAGAAAAGTATATTTTAGAGTATATTTTAGAGCTAATGGTCTCCAAATATGGAGAAGGAAATTCACAGAGTCCAAGACACAAGTAGTGGTTCTGTTTCCGGGGAGCACAAACAGATCCAAAGTGCTGATTCTCAAAAACTTGGAATGGCGAGGGGGAAAGAGTGTGCTGGCTGTGACTGGAGCCTGACCCTGGAATTTCCTAGGTCAGGAATAACTCAGACAGTGTTGATACAGGACTGAGCTCTGAAAAATGGCTGCCGTCAGTGAGATGGAGATGGATGAACCGGGCTTACGTTAGCACTTGCCAAAGTGGGGAAGAGGGAGTCAAACAACGAGGCCTGACGGCATGGCATTTGCCCCCTTTCTATCTACAAGTTCAAACAAGTGTCCGTCACCTCAGCTGACAACAGGAAGCTGCTGTGTTCGGAGGAAACTTCCTGTTCCTGTCAGCTGGCGCACTTTGATGTGGCTCTGGAATGGCCTTGATGGCCTTTTTCGCTGAGGAGTGGGATGAAGTTTCTGTGGAAACTGGGAACTTAGGAGCATTGGGGGGAGGATGAGTTTTTAACGACCACCAAAAAAAGACGTTGTTATTTTTAGTGAGTGGCAAGCAACCTCTCTTTTCCTCAGTGTTCCTGAGAAAAAAACAAGAACTGGGAAAGCAGAGGTTGAGGTCTGGTATTCACTAATCAAATTCCTAAGTGTTTGGCCTCCAGAGGCATTAACCTGTGCTTCCTCTGTGGGTTTCATTGTTCACTAAACTGCTTGTCACTTCTTGCCTGAAAAACACATTAAGACTTAAGAAGAGGTCATTTGGATGGGCAATGATAATAAATAAGTGGAACTCGTGTCTTCTTGCAGTCCATTTGTGCTCTTCTCATTCTGTCCATCCAATGTCTCGTCTCTCGCTCACTGTTTTTCTTTGAAACTTTTGCACATTTAAGTGCATGTGTCTTGTAAACAGTGACCAAAGATGTCTGCAGATTCTTTTGAGACTTTTATATCTAACAATACATTACCATTAGATGTGCAAGGATGCCAGCCTTTAGCCTTTTATGTGTTTTGAAATTTCATCCACTGTATTTGAGGTATTTTAGGTGTAATCACCAGAACTAAGTGCCCAAACCACATTATAAGTTCAAACAAAAGCACAGCTGGACAACTTGACAGATTTATATTTATTTATGTAGCGTGCTTGCATTTATATGCTACTTTTGTAGTCTTACTGACGTTCAAAGTACTTGATTTATCTTGTAGTCCTGAGTTTCCTGTGAATGAATTGTCGCCTCTTCTCTGCCTCAGGAATCGAGCTCCTCCTGGTTGGACAGCATCATCTGTCACCTTGCTGACATCATTCTCCTGGAGGACACGCCCTCCATCCAAATGGAGGTGGCTGTCCTGGTGAAAGAATTTCCAGATATACGGTAAGGATTCCGCCCCCCCCCCCCCCCCCCTCACAAATGAACAGTCTTGAAATGTTACAACCAGGAAACATCTATAAAACAGATGCTCTCTGCACTGGTCCCTCCCAAAGGTCCTATATTCTTTTATGCTTACAGCTACACATTCGCTGTGTTGTTTTTGGCACTGCGCTAAAACAAGAAAAATGTAAGCCTGCATATGTTGTTTTGTTGCAATGGATCAAAACAAGGAAAAGGAGCGCGGAAACATATCTACATTAACTTTGCTATTTTTGGAGCGGTGCGGGTCTGTTTTGAGAATGGATGAAGCAGACAAGCCTCTGGGGGGGAGTTCCAGCCTGTTTGTGCACAGATTAAGACTCACATTAGTGACGGTTTTCGACCTAATGCACGTGATGCATAACCCTCCAAGGAACAGACAGGAAGCTGCTGCCGAATACTTCCTGTTCCTGCCATCCTGCAGGAGACAGACTGGTGCCACTCTTTGAGTCAGAGAGAGAAAGGTGTGGAAGAAAAGAGAAAAAGTAGCAGTTCAGACCTAGAGACACATTAACTTGCTGCATTTGTTTGTACCTTATGACAGACCCGCAAGTCTTTCAGGAGATCAAATGCAGGATTTTCCGAGTCTTTTATTTATCTACCTTAAGAGTCACATTGTGCACATACGGCTGTGTCTACATATTGTGGATAAAAAGTATGAAAAAATCCAATGATAAATAAAATACAGTGCTTAACAATTTATTAGATCACCACCCAATGTAAGGTTTATGCCACAGCTGCTGGTAGTTATCAAAATCATTTTCTCATTTACAGTGGGGCAAAAAAGTATTTAGTCAGCCACCGATTGTGCAAGTTCCCCCACTTAAAATGATGACAGAGGTCAGTAATTTGCACCAGAGGTACACTTCAACTGTGAGAGACAGAATGTGAAAAAAAAATCCATGAATCCACATGGTAGGATTTGTAAAGAATTTATTCGTAAATCAGGGTGGAAAATAAGTATTTGGTCAATAACAAAAATACAACTCAATACTTTGTAACATAACCTTTGTTGGCAATAACAGAGGTCAAACGTTTACTATAGGTCTTTACCAGGTTTGCACACACAGTAGCTGGTATTTTGGCCCATTCCTCCATGCAGATCTTCTCGAGAGCAGTGATGTTTTGGGGCTGTCGCCGAGCAACACGGACTTTCAACTCCCGCCACAGATTTTCTATGGGGTTGAGGTCTGGAGACTGGCTAGGCCACTCCAGGACTTTCAAATGCTTCTTACGGAGCCACTCCTTTGTTGCCCGGGCGGTGTGTTTTGGATCATTGTCATGTTGGAAGACCCAGCCTCGTTTCATCTTCAAAGTTCTCACTGATGGAAGGAGGTTTTGGCTCAAAATCTCACGATACATGGCCCCATTCATTCTGTCCTTAACACGGATCAGTCGTCCTGTCCCCTTGGCAGAAAAACAGCCCCATAGCATGATGTTTCCACCCCCATGCTTCACAGTAGGTATGGTGTTCTTGGGATGCAACTCAGTATTCTTCTTCCTCCAAACACGACGAGTTGAGTTTATACCAAAAAGTTCTACTTTGGTTTCATCTGACCACATGACATTCTCCCAATCCTCTGCTGTATCATCCATGTGCTCTCTGGCAAACTTCAGACGGGCCTGGACATGCACTGGCTTCAGCAGCGGAACACGTCTGGCACTGCGGGATTTGATTCCCTGCCGTTGTAGTGTGTTACTGATGGTGACCTTTGTTACTTTGGTCCCAGCTCTCTGCAGGTCATTCACCAGGTCCCCCCGTGTGGTTCTGGGATCTTTGCTCACCGTTCTCATGATCATTTTGACCCCACGGGATGAGATCTTGCGTGGAGCCCCAGATCGAGGGAGATTATCAGTGGTCTTGTATGTCTTCCATTTTCTGATGATTGCTCCCACAGTTGATTTTTTCACACCAAGCTGCTTGCCTATTGTAGATTCACTCTTCCCAGTCTGGTGCAGGTCTACAATACTTTTCCTGGTGTCCTTCGAAAGCTCTTTGGTCTTGGCCATGGCGGAGTTTGGAGTCTGACTGTTTGAGGCTGTGGACAGGTGTCTTTTATACAGATGATGAGTTCAAACAGGTGCCATTCATACAGGTAACGAGTGGGGGACAGAAAAGCTTCTTACAGAAGACGTTACAGGTCTGTGAGAGCCAGAGATTTTCCTTGTTTGAGGTGACCAAATACTTATTTTCCACCCTAATTTACGAATAAATTCTTTACAAATCCTACCATGTGGATTCATGGATTTTTTTTTCACATTCTGTCTCTCACAGTTGAAGTGTACCTCTGGTGCAAATTACTGACCTCTGTCATCATTTTAAGTGGGGGAACTTGCACAATCGGTGGCTGACTAAATACTTTTTTGCCCTACTGTAGTTTTTTATTCTGTAATGTTTACATACACAAGTGCTTCTTGTTTTTACTTTATTCAGTGTTAGTTTAAGTTTAAATGAAGCTTGTAAATTTAAGTAGGCCCAATATGATTTAAAACCATCACCATGCAAAATTTTAGACAGGAACTGAATTTTCTGTCCTTCCCAGAAGTGAACACAGTGACTCAGAGAAAATGACCGTTACTCGGCGTCATGGCACTTCTTAACAACACCACACAGATCTAATTTCCGATTCATACCCATTTATCCTTCGTCCTCCCTGTATCCTTCCTCTTTGCAGGAAGAAGCATGTCTCCACCCTGCTGAATGTTCGAGGGATGATGCGGCAGGCAGAGCGACAGGAGATCCTCAATGTCGTCAAAGATTTTGAATGCAGCAGCACCCTCATGTGCCGGGACCACGCCCTCTTTTCCGATATTCCCATCACCTCAGAGGTGCACTGCATCAGCCTGGGTTTCCTCCGCCTCGCCATGACCGTCTCCAACTGGTTCTCAGAGCACCGGCCAAGACGGAGAGGCAGAGTAAGCATCAGGAACGCTACACCTCAGCCTGCAGAGAATAAGGAAGATGCGACTAAACTTCACAGAGAAGACTAGCCACTAGTGTTTGTGCTAGGAGAGTAGTCACAGGCATACTGCGAAGATGAGATGTACATGCACCTTGACCAAAACTGATTTTGTCACCAGCCACTTAAAAAAAACCTCAGGTACTGCACATACTGTACATCCTCAGTGACAATTCTCCATTTCCTCGTGTTCGCTTTTGCTTTAACGGTGAAACAAACTGTGTATTTTAATAACTCACCATGATTTACAGTACTTTGCTGTTTATTTACACCTCTACAGAAGTAAACAAAAAAGAATATATCCTCTGAATGTAACATCATGTTCATTAGTTTTTCAGCTTAATTATCATTGCACAAAAAACTTCAATATGATTTACAATGTCTGCTCTTCAGCATATATTTACCCAATGATATATACCCTTTCTCTGGTATATAGAGCATATGGATGTACAGTACTGTGCATAAAAAGTTAAAGACACTTGCTGTTGTTTAGCTGTTTGCTTCTTATCCAGATACCTGATCTGTTAAAAAGTCATTCTGCTGCGTGCAATTAGGCCAATATGACGCTGGCTTTGGTGATAAGAAAAACAAAGGGTCCTGAACATTTGGACCTAATCTGGGATCATTCTGACACTTACCGATATAACTGGCAAATGTTGTGAGTGTTACAAATGTGGATATAAGATAAAGTGGACCTGTGGCTGAGCTGCAGAAGTCACATTTGCACCAAATCCAATGAGGTGGGTCAGATTTGGGCCAAACATTCATTGCTATATATAACATGAAAGAAGTCATAAAATAACTGTGGCAAGGTCTCCAAGATCCTTTGATCAAACAAAAGTGGTGCAGTTTTATTGGTGTTTTTTCATGACTGCACTTTGAATTAAACTAATACAGAAAAATGCAAAATTGCTTTATTTTCTTCAAAACATCCTCCATTTACATTTTACTTTTACAATGTTTTCTTAGTACTGCATATTAATTTTATGGAAATCTGTTGTGTCACTGTGAATGAAATGGATCTATTGCTGGAAACATAATAAAAGCCCATTGACTGGGTCGAGTAAAGTGATTCAGCAGCTATGTCATTGTGGGTTCAAATTCTGTTTTGCATTTCAGGTAAAAAATGGAATGTGTTCTACGTACTGACGTGCTTCAGTTGAGTTCAGTTTCAATTTTATAGCAATCACACAAACCCCTACCTCAACCACTTGGCGAGAAGGAAAAACCCAATTTTAACGGGAAGACTCAGCGAGGGGCAGCGAATCGGATGCAGTTGGTTGGAGCAGGAGAGACAGTGTTTAGTAATTATTATTTATTAAATGCAGCAGTACTGTATAAACATACAGAGAGTGCAAAAAATAGTGTAGAAGGAACCCTCGCTGCATCATGGGAAACCCCACGGCAGCCTAAGCCTATTGCAGCGTCACTAAGGAATGGTTCAGACTCACCTGATCCATCACTAACTATCGGTTTGATCAAAAACAAAAGTTTCAAAAGCAGTGACGGTGAATTTTCTGAATCCAAACCGGGAGCCGGTCCCACAGATGGCTTAATAATGCTCGGCTTCTGACTAAACTTTTATCAAATCTAGGAACCGCACGTAAGCCACCAGTCTGAGAACAAGATGCTCTGTTAGGAAAATAAGGTGTTGTGTGACCTTTCAGAGCCTGAGTGTGTGGGGAAAGGTTTCAAATTCACCTGTGAATTTAACAGAGAGCCAATGAAAAGAAGCTAATATGGGAAACACATGGTTTCTTTTTATAGCTCCAATTCTGGATTAACTGAAGACTTTTCAGGGATCTGTTAGAGTGATCTGGTATTAAGGAAGCAGAGGAGTCGGGCCTAGAAGGTTATTTACTGGCACCTCAAAAACCCGTGGTACATGGCCTGATAATAAAGATAAGTTAATCATATTTACAATTGAAGGATTAATTAATGGTGGAACTTTATTAAGCAGCAGGAATGGGGTCTAAAAGACACAATGATAGTTTTTAGGAAGAACTGATTGAAGTTAGCTTGTTCTTGGATTGGTCTAATAAAATATCATCATTTATCATAACAGAGCACTAAATTAGACTTTAAAAAGTCTGAGAAATCCAATAGAAATTGAGTAACTGTTAGAATGGATATGCTTTTAGTCAGTTACTCTGCCAGCTTCTAACTTTAGGTGCTGTGACCCCTGATCACCGGAGGGTCAGACATGCTGTCTAGCACTATGTTAAACAATACATACCAAGTGGTACTCTGACAAACAGGCACTGGACCGACACACAATCTATGTAGCCAACACATATACGCCCACCTACACATAAAGTCTTTGTTGTTTATCTTAAGAGTAAGGCTGCTTTGTTCAGTAAACAGAGCTTTAAATATGGAGCTCAAGAACAACGACTGCACTGTCTTGCAACAAGAAGGGTCATCCAACCCGGGGCCAACAACGGGATGTTTTTTACTAAACAAAGATTTCCTGTTGTCCGCTGAGGTGCCAACGGATGCTTTTATTGGAGCCAAGTTTACGTTATGCACTAGGAGGGAACTTCCCTTCTGCTGCTGCCGCTGAGCTTTTTCATGTCTGAGCTGCTCGTGGGCTTACCATAACAAAGTTGGCCAGCCCCAGCAGGGGTCATTCTACATGCCGACCTCTCAGAGGATCTGTATTTGAATTCTGAATGAGTGGCCGTGTGCTTTGAAATAACTCGGGAGGTTTGCCATGAGTGTGTGGGATTTCACAGCAGGTGGTGGGATATATTTATTTGAAAAGCATGGAACTGCAGATGTTTGGCCATCTCCATGTCCCCTTACCGCAGTAAGGTCAGTGTAGTAAAGGGTGGTCACACGACACGATCCAGCAAGTTTATTTTAAGTGCTTTTGGTAAATTTACATTCACATATAAACTTGCTGCTTCACATTGATTCATTTCAATTTCTGATCATTAGAAATTATTAGTAATTATTCAATAATAACCATGTATTCCATTTGGAAATATTGACAGAAAACAACACATTTAGTCCTGCAGACATGTTTTCAGATAAAAAGTAAGAATCCTCTCCACTCTGCCACTAACCTCACAGTAGAACAGTCTTTGTCACTACTATTAATGCAGCTCTCAAATCAGCTTTTTATACTCCCTGCTATGGTTTCCATGTATTGATCAGTGGTAAAGATATTTCTTACTGTGTTGATTTGTTGCGCATTTTCAAAAAGGTATTTTCAACCAGACAACTGTGGCTCATAAGATATTTGGTCATTTTTGTACCATTGCCTCATTGTGTGGGAAAATCCATTAGAGTCAAGTAGATCAGCACTCAGACCAACAACCATGCCACTTTCACTCACCTTTCTTCCTGACGTTCAGTTTGAACATCAGCAGCTTGTTTTGACAGGTGTAAGTAATAAAGTGGCTGCTGATGTGTGCAGTGTGACTTTATTGGACTGTACAGTAGTTAGTGGTATGCTCTCCAATTGCGTACATTTGCCTTTTCTGTTTTCTGATCTGTAAGTATAGTAAAAAAATAAAAAGCCTTAAAACAGTGGTTTTATTATAAAACCAAATAACTCTAAAATGATAATATAGAAAATAGTAACAGCACTATTACTACTGCCCGTCTGACAGTCATGTTGGAGTGTGATGAAGCAAGGACACAAATGTAGAGATGGAGAGAGAAGGAGCATTAGTAAATAAATACTGGGCCATTTGTTAAGGCTAGTATAAGTAGATGGTGGCAAAACAATGTTCAACTAAACACTAGAGCTCCATGAAAAATACTAGGAATGAGGAATTACAAATAGACAGAGTAAAGACAACAGTATGACATAAGAAGGACAAAGGGAGGGCAAAAGCTATATATACACACAAAAGGCTAATTAGGGGAATGAGGAACAGGTGGGTAAACACACAGCAAGGGATAAAGGAAAAAAAAATTCTAAAGGCAAGATATAAGGGACAGAAGACTGCCAAAATAAAACAGGAAGTAATATAACACAGAGCCAGAGACTAAACAACAAGACATGGGGACGCAGAGAAGGCAGGATAAACTGAAACTCAATGAACTGAATATAAACTGTAACTCTAACCCCAAACAGAGACAAGACCGCAGACAATAGCAAAGCTAAAACTAAGAAACTAACGAGGAAATAACAAGTACATGAACAGAATACAAATCTCAAAACATCATAAACACAGGAATCCAAAATTAAGGACAAAACTCAAAATTCAGCAGAAACCCCACACTACATGACACTGACAAAGATCCGAGTCACCATCCTGGGACACACTGTAGCTGTTATAAAACTCAACCTGCTCCACTAAAATGGATATTTAATTTAGGGCAGCTGTGGTGGTAGCAGTGGCGGTCCTAGCCTGTTCGGTGCCCTGGGCGAACACTCCCTCTGCCATAATGTTACATAATGTTTGGAGTTTAGTCTGTTACTGTTAAGTATTCTGATTCTGATTGTTTCAGGATGACCTGCCATTATCCAATGACACATCTGCTTACCTGTATCTTTTGCTCGTTTCTTCTCCTCTTCCTTTCTCTTTTTTCTAAACTGAGCACCTGATGGCTTTGAACTTTTCTTGTCCAAACCTCCATTGGTTTTAATTTTGCACTCCAGTATGAACAATCACCCCCCAACCTGAGGATCACCACAACATAACCTCATAGACCTACACCTTAGTTCACAGAATCACTTTGTCTAGTGTTTATTTCTGAGATTTCACACAACCCAGGATTCAAATCATGAATACATAATGGGCTTGGATTTACAATATTATAAATGAAATGATCTCTGTTTGGAAGCAGCTGGCCCCCTTCCCCTTTCGACAGGTTGTGTGTGAGACTTTAAATCATCAAATATAAATTTTAAATTGTTATTGATCCCTTCACCCCTCGTCCTAAAGTGTATATTTATTTTCTTACTCTAATTATATTTATTGTTTGTTTACTTGCACTGTTGTAACTGGAGCCTCGTCGTCTCGTCTCTCTATATACTGGACTGTATGTAGCGGAGATGACAATAAAGTTTACTTTGACTTCAGCCGCAAGCAGGCCAGGGGCAATTCTAGAATCACAGCTTTGGGGGTGCTGAGCACCCAGAGAGCTGCCCATGCAGCCAAGATAAACTTTATTCGTCACAATGAGACTTCTTCCCTGTCTCTGTCAGTCCCTGCATCCTTAAATGTCTCCAGTTGTCCTGAGTTCCCTCTGACTGTCTCCTTGGTGCATTTAAACCTCTGTTCCTCCCTCTTCGTCTCCGTTATCAGTCATCATAATTTTACCATCTCTGTGCAAGTCTGAAAATTTCTTTATTAAATCATAACATTCTTAAATTCATCAAGTCTCTCTGTGGTCTCTCTCTAGGTCCTCGTCACAAAACATGACATCACTGTTTTGTATATTTTAACACAATTTAATCCCCACATTTGTGAAAGAAAAGCAAAACACTTTTTTGAAAAGTTTGTAACAAAACCATCAAATTTGATAAAGGTTATTTAAATGCTGCTAATGAAGAATGGATTGGAATTTTAAAAAAAAATATCCTAACCTTAATTACTGCAGGAGAATAATGAATGATGCTCACAGTGAGTAAGAAGTAAACTGAGTGCATATTTTGGACAGAGACTCACTTTTAAAGTGTATGTATAATACAATACAGATACATAAAAATACACTCCAAAAATAGAGTCCTTGAAATGTACAAAATATTATTAAAAAATTAGAAAAATTGAGACACCTTGGCCTACGGTACAATGTATACAATGTATGAAAAGATCTTTACTGCAGATGCTACTATTGCTCTGCAGATCTTTTCTTTTCTTTTATCCTATGTCGCCTCAGCTTGAGGTTGGCAAATCTGTCTATCACATTTTGGTGGTCAAGTCTCTCAAGTCTCTTTCTCAACTGACATCACAGCCAGTTGCTGGAGTCAGCTTTGACCCATGGTCCTTCTCAGCCAGGTACTGTATGGAGCTGACTCAAGACACTAAAAGACCTCTCACAGCTACAGCTGCTAACTGGGTTTGTTAGGGCAACCTGAATAACAGTTTTCAGTGTGGGGAAGATCTGATTATCCAGAAGATTGCACAATGTTAACATATCTGGAATGGCACCAGCCTCACTCTTGAGCTTCAAAAAGTTTTTGGCAACCGTGACTTCCTCTGACTGAAGCTCAATATGGTAATGCAGTGCCAGGGCTGACAACCCAGTTTGTTTTGCAGATTCTGTATAGCAGCTTTAATATAGGGAGAACACAACTTCCAGATTGTATGAGTAAAATTAGTTTTTTTTTCTTTGCCAGTTTAACAGTTTCTGTTTTGCCTGTTAGTATTCCCTGTCTGTTTTCTTACCTGGTTCTTCCTGACTTGTACTTTCTCCTCATGTTCTCCTCTCCTCTCTCCCTCTTTGGACTGACAATCATACACAAATAGATTGTATTCAATTAGATAAAAAAATACTATTAAGATCACTAATAAAAAGTCCTCTCTCAGTGTACTTTCAACCAAAAGGCAAATAACCAAACCACATGAACATCTAATAAAAGATATAAATATTGAAACACTGATCCAACATTATTCTTGATTGAGGATCATTTGATTTTACACTTTTACCTGAATGTGGCTCCTTTTTTTGAAAAAACTTCCTCATATCCATTATGAACCTGGCTGTCTCTCTGTACACACACACACACACACACACACACACACACACACACACACACACACACACACACACACACACACACACACACACACAACAGGAGTTATAAGGTTAAACTGTTAGCAGTCGGACGTACCGCCCACGGGACATTGGATGGTTTAGGGGACTAATAGGACTGCTAAGGGGTTAATGGGCATCCAGTCAGTTAGCTAGTTAGTACCTTGGGTTCAATATCAGCACATGCACATATGAGAAAATAACCAGTTTCTCTCATTAGATTTCAAACAGGACAGTGGCAACAACAGCAGGCTACGGACAATTATAAGTTTTAGATTTTAAATAGGCTGTATACATTTCAATTGGAGCAACAGGACGGTCGCTGATTTTACTACAGAGCAGGACGGATTGTAGGGTGGCAACCATAGTTGGGAAACACGTTTTCAACACTGCAGGTTACCTGGTGTAATGTTTTTCAGCTAAAAAGAAACATGGTCTGACTCCTACCT